TCAGTACGCCTTGGACAGTGACTTCTGCAGCCGCCTCCGGGGCCGGCGCCAGCCGCCTCGCTTCGCCAGTGCTGTCTACGCCGGCGACACGCGTGTCGGCTCGCAGCCCGCGTCGCCCGCGGCGGGCCCGCATGGCGCGCCGCTCGTCGGGAGCGTTCCCAGCAGGCTGTGCAGGGCAGTCTGCCTCACTCAGGGCGCCGCCGCCGCCGCGCGGGGCGCTGCTGCCGTGAACACTGCCGACGTGTATGTCACCATCGCCTCTCTTCGTCGCCGATCTCGCCGACGCCGCTCGCCGCTCGCCGCCGCCCTGCCCTGCCCCGCCCAGCCCTCGCACAAACAAACCAACACACACACACACACACACACACACACACACACACCTCGAGCGCCCCGCGCCCTCCCGCCCAACGCCCTGCGCCTCACGCCTCGCGTCCCACGCACGCCCCGCGCCCCGCGCCCCCACGCCCCTCACCTCGCGCCTCACGCCTCCCTCCCCACCCTCTCAGGCATTTCTCCTCCCTGCTGCTCGCCGACTCCTCCTCCCCCCGCAAGGAGCGCCCATACTCGCAGTGGGGGCACGGGTGGCGCCCACCGGCTCCACGGCCGCCGCGGTCCCCGCCACCCTTACATCCTGGGCTCCGAGCGGGAGTTCAACGAGTGGCTCCGCAACCTGCGGACCATGGCGAAGCAACACAAGTACCTCCTCGACATCATCGAGGAGGGCACCATCCGGCCGGGCTCGGAGCGCGAGGCCGAGGGGGTCGCGCTGCACGTGCGCTACAAGAACGTCGGCGTTGCGGACGGCCTCATCGCGGCCAAGATCGACACGTTCTTCGAGAACCTGGCGAGGACCCTGTCCCGCCAACTCTACGGTGCGCTGCAGAACGCCGTCAAGGACGACGAGACGCTGGCCGAGCTGTTGGCGGACGAGGACGCCGACCACTACGACGACAGCTGCGCGGCCGCCGCGGTCCCCGGAGTGGAAGATGCCGAAGTCGTCCACGTAGATGACGACGATGAGTTTCGTGCTGTTGCGGGTGAGGGTGAAGCAGCTCGGGTCCTGGAGTTGAGGACGACCTCGTTGTCGCAGAACGCAACTCCTCCGCGGAACGTGTGGCCGTCCTTTCCCTCGTTCTCGGCGAAGTACTTGCGCAGGTAGGCAGGCGTCTGTGTGAAGGTCTTCAGTGACCACTCACAAGCTGTTCCAAGAGGCCCGACAGAAATGTACTGTCAAAACTTTGTTCAAACAAAAGTCCTGGCCCGCGGCCCCCACACCCACAATGACTATCAATCCAAGGTGTCCTCGACCTGGTCGGTGCCGACGCCAGCGGCAAAGCCGCCGACGATGCCGTCCGGGTCGAACGTGCGGGTGACAGAGTCGGCCAGCGCCGCCCGCACCTCCTCGTGGTCGGCCGCGGTGGAGTCCGACTTCTTGGCGAAGGGGTCGTGCGGGAGGGTGCGGCCGGGGGACTTGGCGCACACCTTCTTGTACGAGGACTGGGCCATGCGCACCTTCGCCTCGTGGTCGATGCGGTCGGGGAGTTCCTCGAGCACCTTGGCGACAGGGACCCCCTTGCAGATGAGGTCGCCGATGCACTTGCCACCGTGCAACCCGTTGCAGTGGGTGTTGAAGACCGACGACCGCGCAGCCGTCTAGTCTACGGCCACACACACACACATAGTGTCCTTA